ATTATTTGTTTTGGACATTTTTTTGTTTCAAGTACTTGCTTTGAATATTGATATAATTAGTTTGAACATTATTTGCTTTGAATTTTAAAATTTTGAATTTGTATTTTAAATAAAAATAAAAATAAAATAAAAAACAAATGGGGCAAAGAACGGGGCAAGCCCCGTCCCGCCCCGTCTAAGGCGGGGTGGGGCGGGGGAGTGGCATGGTGGGTGGGGTGAGGGTGCCCCGCCCCGAACCCGCCCCATTGCCAACAACCTTTGGTTTTAATGACATGAACGTATAATTATTTGTTTATTTACGTTGTAATATGCGATCCATTTTGTTCACGCTTTAATCCATTTTGTTTTTTAATAGGGTAACTATGTTATCAATACGAATTTTGTTAGTCACACTACAACTTTAGGCATTTTTTATTTACTTAAATGACTTTAGATAAAATTACATAAATGACATTTTAATAAATGTATTATATAAAATAATTTATTGTTATAATTACAATCATAAACATAATTTTGAATTTATTTTCCCTCAACAGCCGTGAAAAGCAGTTGTAACATCATTTGAAATTCAAATTTTGTAAAAACGGACATTTTTCTTTCCATAAATACGAGGTAAAATTACACATATTTTAAATGATTTAAAAAAAAAATTAGAATATCAGGAATAAGAAAAACAAATGAGCCGGACCGAAAGCCCGAACCAAGCTTCAATTTTTCGGCCGAACTTTGGATACACTCGACTCGCGAGAAAAAAAAGAAAAAAAAGCTTGAGTCATTTTGACCCTAGCCAAGCCGAACCCGTGCCTGGAGTTGACGTCCCTACCCTAATCCCAAAAGAGGTTCTCCATTTCATTTTTGAAATTCCTCGATAATCCGGCAATCCCCCGTCGGGGGCAGAGCCCAATGAGGTCCAGTGTGGGCATGGGCCCACACTGAACTTCTGGGCCCAAACCCATGGCCCAATTTTTTTTTTAGTAATATGCTAACTTCCAGCCCAAGGGTGAAGCCCAAAACCATTACCAATACCCACTACCCTAATGTAAACGGCCCAAACCACCCGATCCAAAAAAAAAACATCCAGCCTCCAGGACCATCTCAATTCATTTTCCTCCAGTCTCGACCTCCGCGACTCCGCCTCTGCGTGCGTCTCCTCCAGCCAGCCTCCATTTCAATTCAAAACAGTAGGGTCGTAGCTCCACTCTCCATTGACTCCGTCTCCGATTCTCCGGGATTCGTGAAGTTCGGCAGCTGTTCCTGTTTGACTTCGGGCCCTAGACCAGTTGAGTGACCAGCTGCTTCGCCTCCGTGCCGGAGATTCTTCTTCTTCATCCTTGATCCTTCGACAATCGGCAGCAGTAACCTACTCTAAGTCTGTAACTAGCTTGGTTCTTTTCGAATTTCGATAATTACTATATTTTGCGTATACGGTATGCATAAACCGTTTGGGGTTTGATTCCTTCATCGGCGTTTTAAATGACTATGGTGTTTTTGAATGCATATTTGTGATTTGATTGTTATAAGTTGCACATATTCTGGTTCAATTGTGTGTGTAGAACAGTAGATTGAATTTTGCAATCTGTGTTCTTGAGATTATTGCTTAACTAGTTAATCCAGATTCCAGTGCTCTGTTTTGTTCAATCACTTTTTTATCATAAAATTATTGGATACATTTGTGGGGAAATTTTTTTTCTCTAGTCATATGTGACCTTATTTACGGATAGATGCACTTGAATGACATAGCTTATCCTCTGCTGAATAACATTATGGTTAATTTGATCTCTTAGAAGAATTCCTCCTCAGATATGCAGTATTATGGGTTGTTGAAATCATGATATTTATCATTAAGCAAAACAATTCTTGTAAAGAGCATTGTAAATTATAGATTGCGTAATCACATGGGTAATCAGTGGATGAATGATAGCACAATTGTTTATGTAGAGAAAGATATATTTTTAAAACTCGATAATGAAGTTATTGTACGATATCAAAGTATGAAAACTCGAAAGGAACAATTGTAATTTATAAACTATGTCATTTTTAGTATTGTCGTAATATTGTTTTATATTTTTATTAACATTAAATTTATAACTAAAAACTCGACGTTCAACATCGATAAATTGTGCCCACGCCTAGTTACTTTCCTAGCTCCGCCCCTTCTGTAGCAGGTGGCTGTGGGCTTCAGGTGCGTTCTTCTCCTTTCACAACCTACAAATATAATTACACACGGCAGATTTATTTATACGGGGATGTAAGTGGGCATTATGATGGGTGGCTGAGTTTTTGACTGGATTGGAAAATGATTTGGTCTTTTGAGTTGAATTTTTCCTCTAGCTTCCCCGAAATGGAATTGTGGCTTAAGAGTTGTGTACTATGATGCTATAGTGAACGGTAGAAACTTGAAATGGGGGAGCCGCTCGCCTTGACCGTTATTTGATTTAGTGGCTCCTTTTACTTGATCACTGACTAAGAAGGTGGTGCACCTCTCCGTCCTGTACTCTACTGAGCGAGCGACTGCATCCTATTCCTCTAATGTCTCTGGGTGTGCATATAGTGTAAATGGATATGGGAATGCGTAATTTGACTTAGATTTTTGTGATTAACATCAGAAGAAATCTCCATTTCATACTTGACTAAAGAAGACTGCTTAGAAATTTTCTAAGGGGAATAAATCTTGTTTTCTTGTGGTGGGTTTGTTCAGTATTGGACATTTAGCTTCTCGTTTTGATAAAGCGGTTGGGTGTTTTCAAACTGAAATCTGATAGGCTTACAAAGAATAATTCTTGAAAGTTCATAGGATGTACGGGTTCATCATTTACATTGCTTAATTAATTATTTTTCCTTTTTTAAATTGTTGCCATGGATCTCTCTTAAATCAACTGCGTAAATATTATGGTAAAGTGAGTTTTCTTTTTGATACTTTGGTAAAGCACTTCATCACTTTGCATAAGTTATTCAGGAGCATCAACTTGTTTATTTGATTTTTAATCTATTTGAATTAATGCATTTGATCTCTTGAAACAACAGCAGGTTTCTTCAGAAAGCAAGATTCTCCCCGCCTTTTCTGGGTTCAGCACGATGGAGGAGTCATCATTTTTCAACAGAATGCTACTTAATCTTCGTGCAACCTGCAAGTATGTTAAAACACTTTGACATGTATGTACCTAGACAGTCACCCTCCCCATCAATGTATACATGTATTTGTACTGATTTTGTAGAATGTGCTCCTGCTGCATAAATTTTTTGTAGTACCTATTGCAAGCTTGATATCTGTACACAATTGTGAACTACAACATCAGTTCTTTTTCCCTTGTTGCGTCATAAACATTATTCAGATTGGTTTTGCTCGGGGCAATGTTGTGATGATCATTTTGATAAGTGAAATTTTGTACTGTATCTTGGAGCCATTTGCATGGAAATTTTTAAAAATGTATGTGCAGGAGAATTTTCCATCTTGTAGTTTCTGAGGACAAATGATTTTTCCTTAGTTCTCCAGTGTCTGATGTTATGCATATCATAATGAGATGGACACTGATTCATTAGCTTTGAAATTACAATATTTCAGGGCTGTTTCTGATTACTTGGTCCTCCTTTTCACCTTTTTCGCTTGCTTTTCTTTAAATTTTTAAAGGTATTATACTGGCTACCCTAAGGATCTTGGACCATCAAGGGTTATTCCTTTCTCCTCAGAGCGCGAGTTTATGCAGCTTCTACATAAAGGTCACCCTGTGGTTGTTGCATTTACCATCAAGTAATTTGGAATATCTAATTCTTACTTTCTTCTTCGAATTTTCTTTAGTTGTTGTAATGATTCCTCAAGTATCAATATTTTTTTACTGCTGCAGGTGTAACCACACAAAACATCTTGACAAAGTAATGGAAGAAGCTGCAGCCGAGTTTTATCCACATGTAAAGTTTATGCGTGTAGGTTACCTCATCTGGATGCTACATTCTGGAAAACTAAATTTTGTTAGAATAGTCACATTTTTCTTTATGTTGGTTTTTATGGGTAAAAGTGTGATTTTTTAGTCAGTGATTCTGCACTTCATGCAGCAATTTTCATCATTCTATGTTTCCTATGTATCCTTCTTCTATTTGTCTGCATTCATTCACATGTACAAGAGAGCATCTAGATGTTTCTGTACATTCTGTCATTCTTTGAGTTTCTTGTCTGAAAAGTACATCAAAGCATATATTCATCTGTAACCGCAAATGATGTAAACCACAGAATTCCTCTTATTGTATAAATGAAGCATCTTCTCTTATTGTATTGAAGTAGCATCTTTAATTCACGTTAACATACTTTGTTGCCCTCACCTATTTTGGTTCTGGTGTTGGTTGCTTAGGTTGAGTGCCCAAAATATCCTGGATTTTGCATAACGCGGCAGAAGAAGGAATACCCATTTGTAGAAATATTTCACAGCCCAGAACAGGTGAGTTTGGTTTGTTAATGCCTGCACGCCGTAATTTCGATCAGACAACGTTTTCATGCAGTCCCAATTCTACATTTGAGGTCACTCTAAATTTAATTTTCCTTTTTATAAAAAGCAAATTGTTCTAAGATTTATCTGAACCATTTGAGAACAATACTTTGGCTGCGTAGTTTTTGTGACTCTGATTTATTCAATCATAACTGAGTCTTTTCTTCTGGATAGTGAATTGTAGAGGACTTTCCCCAACATAATCCAAACAAAGCTTAATAATAATGAAAAATAACAAATGCTGAGTGGAAGCATAAATAGGAGTCAGTTTCTATGATGACAAAGTACGCATTCTTTACGTAAAATCTTATAAATGAAGACAAAACATTTTGTCTGAAGCCATTTAATTGTAAAGATGGTGATATTGTGCACTTGAGGAAGAACCATTCACCATTCATAGATCTTGTTGTAATATGAATATTGTTGGGTTGCGTGCAGTGTTTTAGGGAGTTAGTAGCTTGCAGTTATTTTTCCAGTGGCATTATAGTGATATACTGGTTTTCCTTTTTATTCCCTTTGGAGGATAAATATAACACAGAAATTGCGGTATCGTTATTTTATTTATTTTTTTATTTTAGCTTTTCTTCTAGATAATAGCAGTGTATTCCTAAATTGGCATTCATGTGAAGATTTTTGTTCTTCGTTTTTTATCGTTCTTAATCTTTCAAAAAAAAAAAAAAAGAGCATGTTTGTATGGACAAACCAATGTGATTTGGTTGTCATATGATGTCAACCACAAGGGAAACTGAACTCCTTAGTATATGCATAAGGATCTGATTGTTGTTGTATCTGAAATGAGTTTTTGTGGTTGCACATACAGTTTTGCCATAAGTTGCTGGTAATTTTTCTTGCAGCCTTATTCTTGGTAGTGATGTTTTGTGAGTCTTGTGACAGAGACTGCATAATTGTTAGTTCTATTACTTCCTTGTACTCTCTCTTCTCCTCATCCTTGAAATTCGATGACAGTTAATATTTATCATCGTTTGCATCTCTGATTTTTATCACACCTTCACTGGCAGAAGAATTGATCTCTATGTCTTTTATCTTTATGGATGCTGCTGTCCTGTTGTTTTTACATTGCATTACCTTGTACATTTAGATTTTTGTGACTCCTACTTAACGGTTCATAGTTATTGTTGCATAGGCAGCTAATCAAGGAAAAGTTGTCGATCCAAATATCACAAAATATTCCGTGAAAGTTTTACCTGTAAGTTCTGGATATTGTTTTCGCGTATCTTTATTGGCTTATTAATTATGGCTTCATGTTGTATGATTTTGTGAGATAACCACCTTTGATCACATTTCAGCAATTGGGGTTCTCATTAGTGTTCATTACTTGTAATGTGTTGTGCCTGATTCAAGAATTCCATTGTTTTTGTTTTCTGCTCGGTATTGTGTGTTGTCACCTTTTCTTTGCAGTTGATTGAAAATTTGAAATTTATAAAGGTAAAAAACGATTCTTGAACTCGCCCTCTGGAAAGTAAAATGATCCACTGATGGATTGAAATACATAGTATATGATTTCTTTATGGACGCAATTTATGTTTCAGTCTTAATTCGTCTGTATTAAGCCAGTATTTCTGTATTTGATCATTGGTTGTGTGGTTACTCAAGGATTCTGTATCTTGTGGATTTTTGAATTCAATTTCTGAAAGTAGTTAATTTGTCTTTGAAATAAGCCCTCGTTTGATAACCATTAAAAAGAATTTTTTGAGGAAAATGAGTTTTGGAATAATGATTTTTCGAAGAATCTGTAGTTAAAAGTTAGAAAAAAAGTTTTGTTTTTATGTACAAAATATTTTATTTTGAGAATATGTGGTGAAAATGAGTTTGAGAAAAAATGAATTTTGTAAAAATGGTTGTCAAACAGGGGCTAAGTAAGAAGATTATTTGCAGAAGAGATGAACCCTCAGTTTTATGTTTCCTTTTATATTATCTAATAATGTGAGACTGTGATTATCTAACAGAATATGGTTTTTGGGTTGGAATTTGTAGCGTCAATCTAAAGGGTTTCAGAACCTCCACTTCCAGTCTTAATGAAATAGATGGCCCGAAAGAAAACAGGAAAATTAGAGGGATGTGAAATTGCATAATTCAGATACAAAGAAACTCTATCCTATCTTTTATTGTCTTTTGAGGAGTTCATAAATGGTTCATTGACTAGGGTAGGTTACTTCGATCTTTTAATCTTGGGTTGGATGATGAATTCTGAAGCTTTCCCGTGTTGTTTCGAATATAAAATAGTTTTGAGAAATATTAATTCTTACAAAAAATATTATTCTGATAGTGTTTCTATGTTGGTGATATTTGTTTTATTAAGTTCATTCCTTGCAAGTCTCTTGTATCATACGTCGTGCATGTTTAGTAAGTTGTACAAGTGCACCTAGTGCTTGAGACATCTTTGCTCCTCGATGCTGAAGTTGATTTCCAATCTGCAGTTCAACTATGATCTCAGTTCTTATGGATTTAGAGAATTTTTCAAGCGCTACAGCATTCGATCATCAGATCCAGAGTGAAAATTTTCCGGAATCAAGTCTGTATCACACATCTCTTGATTATTATGAATTATGTGATGGTTTTTGTAAAGCATGGATTTGAACCTTTGATTACCAGGATGTCATTTATATTATTATTTTTTTCTAGTTAGAGAACACAAAGGATCTTATTTGTGAATGTTTGGCCTGTTGATGATCATGATATCATGCTACATGTAAATTGTCATTTACATTATTTTTTATATTGTGTCACGTGGTAACACACTATTGGCCAGTTAAAAAAAAAGAAACAGTTTTTTTCACCAATCAAATCTTGTCAACAATGATGATGTCAAGACAAGTGACATTGTCCTAAATTTTTTAGGAGCGTCAATGCTAGTTTTGTTCAAAAGCAGGGACTTCTTCTGCAATTGGGTTTTTCTGTCTGTCTGGTTAAGATTAGAACCGAACTAAACAATATTTTCAAGACATTGAATTCTCAAGTTATACATATTAGATATCAACATGTAATCCTATAATATATAGTTATGTGTGTGTTTGTGGTTGAAAATGAAAGCACTTAATTTCATCCAACATTTGACATTACAACTACCATTGGCGGCTGTCTTCAAAATCTCAAAATTCCAAAAGAACAATAATATTAATAGGTATTAGTCAATATTTTTTTAATTAATTAAGAAATGGGTGACTAGAGTAGTGGCGTTTCGTTGAATATTGTTGTTGCACACACTTATCAAGTACACGCTCAATTTATGTCTTGAATTTTGGAACATGGATCGATTCATATGTTCGACTTGCTCTCGTCTCCACCCTTTTTTTAATCACAATTTTAAGTCAAGTTTTCGATAATCACAATGTTATCAATTAATTTAACCGTCATGTGTGATAATGCCTTGAGCTTGTCCTATGCGAATCTTCACCATTATTGGCAAGCATTTCTATCAAGTTTAGATCATGTGCGAATTTAGGCTATTATCAATGAGCATTTCTAATACGAAGTCATAATTTCGATCTTGGAGGTTGTTTGGGCGCACAGAAATTGGGTAGGAAAATCACTTTTTAAAACGTTGGAGGAGATCTGTAGGTCCCATTGCAGAGAGAAATGGTCAAATTTTGTAGGCTGCAACGGGAAGAAAATCAATTCTTTGGCTGTAATAATTTAGGCCAGACAAGCTCTTGAATACAAATGACGAGCATACCAACTGTGCGAGTGCAAAATTATTGAATAAGCAAAAACGTTTATATTTATTTTTATATGTTATTTTACATCAATAAAAATTGTTATTGAAGCACGTGCAAAAAAATTAATGAGTGAAGAAAACATGGCATGGTCAATAAAACGTGAAAATGGTAATGAATTTAGTTAAAGCTGACTAATCAACAACTGTCACGCATCATTCAAGGAAAATACTTCATTAACTTTATGGCCTCATCGGAAATTCATAATAGATATAGCTGAAAGCAAAGAAGGATATAAAAAATTGAATTTACATTCCTTTGAATTAGTCATTTTCCTCATCGCTCTTATTTTGAGTAGAATTAAGTGAGTTTGAGGAGTAAAAACCCTAGTTAAGTAAAAGAGATTTATTTATCTCATTTTTGAGGTCAACATTTTATAATTGAAATTGTTATTTGAAGAATAACCGAGTGGTTACTACGATCCATGTGTTTTCTATATACATACATACATACATACATACATACATACATATATATATATATATATATATATACACACACACAAGGTGTTAGCAACGTGCAATGCATGTTTGCTTAGTTCATATTTAATTTATTTGGTTAAGAATAAATCTCTTATTAATAAATATGTAACTGTGTTGGGTAATTAAATAACTAATGATGTAATGTTTATATAATTGATAAATAATTACACGTTGTGATATATTAAAAAAAGAACATTAATAGAATCTATGGAATTGTCCTATAAATAAACATAACTCAATAGTTTTATGAAAGGTGTTTGAGATAATTTTGATTCTAAGATGACGATCCAGCATTTTCCTCATCTTGCACTGGTTCAACAGAGAGGACATTAAAATGCCTATATTTTTTCTCCTTCAGTTTCTCTGGATCTACAAAAAGTTGAATCTTCCAATTTTTTTTGATAATTTCTCTACAACGCTTTTAACATATAGTCAATTTTCCTACAAAATAAATTTTGAATAGATTTACATAATTAATATAAAACCCATTTATATTTTAAATAACTCATTATAATGAAACTCAAGTTTTGAAGAAAAATTGAAGAGATACCTCTCCAGCACGTTCCATCAATTCAACTGCTGAACAACCAAATGTCTGTTCTGCTACTTCACCAAACAAAGTAGTAGCTAGCTTTCCAGTATTATCGTCAAATTCAACATATGCTCTAGCACTTTAAATGAGTTGAATATATTAATTTTAATTTGAATGTTGTTGAATTATAAATTAAATCAGATGTCAATTTTAAATTAAAATTGTAAGATATATATCGTGATTTGCTGACCCATTGGCTTTTGCAATATATACAAATGAATGTTTCATTGTATTTATATTCAGATCCTCTATTACAGGTAACACATGACATGTAATAAAATATTTGGACAAACTCAATCACATTTATCTTCGCCTTCATCCAGATTTTGCTTTCTATATTAAACCATAATAAATTTTTAGATAAATTTTCGGGTTATTGTTTTTGTATTTTATGGATGAGTTTCTATTGGGAATCATGCGATTCTCGTGTAATATAGTCTTCAATTTTCCTTGCACTTTATGTGTGTGAGAATTTAATGCTCGGGCTAAAATAATTCTTATGTTGACATGGAGCTCATTTGCATCTCAATTCTTATGTTTCCTTGCTTCCTTTTTTATGTTATTATGGGTGTTTGTGTATTAATTGTTCAAGCGTTAAATGAGTGATAATTTTAAAAAAATGATTTTTGGGATAGTAATAGTTGGTTGTTTTGTCCTTTTGGATTTGGTGACTTCGTGGTTTTGAATTTGAATTTAATGATAAAATTTCATGTCTTTACTGCCCTGGGGTGTGTGCATAGGAGAGCAAATTCTTGGATAAATGGGTTGTTTGTTGATTTTTTTAATTTAAATATCTGATTTAATTTCTTGGGTTTTTCTTATTGTTTAGATTTAGAAATAAGACGGTACTGATTTATAGAATGAAAATGTTTTGGCTCCAAGATTGAATTTTTCTCTAATTTCATATACGGTTGTGGGTTGCAGATAATGGTTAATGATCAGCTTAATCTTTTAAAGGTCTTTTGATGAACGTTGAAATTTATATATGTTTATTTGTATGTATCTGGGGATACCTTCTTGCTCTTGCTCTTGCGCTTGCGAGAATAACGTTTATTGGTGTCGTTTATCTTTCTTCTATACAAAAGGATCAAGATAAATTTTATAGTTGGAAAGTCATATATTTTGAATAAATAAGTATTCAAGTAGCTGACTTTTGAGCTAGATCCCAAACTTCAAATCCTAATTTGCAAAGAGTATTGTTGATAACAGTAGTATTTTCATGGTTCTACTATCTATCACTATAGGATGGAACGCTTCTCTAGGTACTCTATGACTTTTTAGTACCTTAGTAGTTGAGCTTTATTTTCGGATTATATCTGTTAACATTTTTCTTTTTATTATTGCTTGACTATGGGGATTACGTTTTATTTGATCTTGACTTTTTTTGTAAGTTTTTTAATAACTTATATTGATCTCTAATTTTTATGATATTAGTCGCTTCATTTCTTAGAAATATGAACAAACATGTGTAATGCATAGATAGACTATATACATAATATAAACACACAAAAGACAGTAAGACTGCCCTTTTTAATGTACCTTCAAACCTTTGCACCACTGCACTGCTTCACCACACCTAATTTGAAAGAGACAAAATTTGAGAGAGACGGCACGGAAAAACATGAAAAACCATATATAATGCATAGATAGACTTATACTGTAAACAAAAAATTAAGTTAAGACTCATTTTTCCATCTTCCTTCGAACCGTATCACCAATGCACTGAAAGAAATAGAA